TGCAATCCTTATAAGCTGATGCAACGTCTAGATAACTTATCGGCTAGCACCCCGATAAAACATTAGCATGAACCTATCGGCTTAACAAGACTTATATTATCAACAACAATCTAGTAGGTCGAACCTAACCGATGCAGCACGAGATTGTATATGATAATCTAATACTCGATGAGCCGATAGATCTGTCTAATGTGATGGATATAACAAATCTATTTATAACAGCATTGTGATTGTAGAGATATATCGGCTAAGGCAGAAGATCAGACCTAACCGAGACATTCCCAACTAAACCGATGCGTTCTCTAAATACAATGCAACTAGATATAGAATTGAGATATCAGGTAGGCAAATATATCAACCAAACCAGAGCGATCCAAGAGATGGAAGCGATGTAGCCTTGAACAACACCAATGCAGCCGATAGATTCACCAGGGCCAGCGAAACGTAGGACTTACCCCTTCGTCGAAGATCGAAATCCGATGCAGCCCCGTGTCAGGTGCCAAATTCCGCCGGTTGATAAGTAAAACCTCGGTAAAGAGGGTGGCGATGCGCCGAGAGTAGTTGTATTGATCTATGTGATAATTTACAATGACCTCGGGTGTACATATTTATACCCATTGGGAGATACTAGTCCTTGTCGGACAAGAAAGAAACTCTCCTAAAGATAAAAGGAAAACAGAAAGTCCTTATCGGACACTAAACACACTTTCCTAAAGATAAAAGAAAACAAACTATTCCTAATTAATAGATAACTTGCCATGCCGCATTCTCTTTAAACTCGGTCTCTTCTGGATAAACATCCTTTAGTAGATCAATTTCCTTAACCGAATATAGCAAGAATCTAACAACTGACGACTTGATAACTCTCATCGGCTAATCTCAGGACTTCGAAGCCGATGCTGACTCTAAGCCGATGATTACTCCGGACTTACCAAATTATACTGTTAACAGGCGGCAACGGTTACGAGTGGTGGCTGTGGCGGGTGGGTGGCGCACGGGGTTCTCAGGCGGCATGCTGGGTCAGCGTCGGCAAAGGCGGCAACGCGGGGGGGGGGGGGGGGAGCGGCGTTGGTGTCAGCATCTACAGGGGATCGAGAGCCGCGTGTGGTGGTACGGGTTGAGCAGCAACGGCGGCGTGCGGGCTATATGCATGGTTATTACCATCATTTTCTATATGCATGGTCTCTTCATGCTCTCATATAGTTTCTGTTTTTATATTTGTTTCTGACTTGTGAACTATTTAATCCCACACGATTTATTTTATCCTTTCCACAAAATATAGGAAGTTAATGGTAAGGCTAGTTGACATGTGAACCCTTTGTCTCATATGTTATTTAATTTTTACTTTTAAAACGGTAGAGTTAGTGGGGGAGTTTTAAAGTAGTATAACAAACTAGCTGGTTGGCCTCCGCAATAGCGTGGCTAGCACCCAAACAAAATCATATATTCTTTTAGTATGATTTTACTTAAAATTTATTAAATAGCTACCTCATTGTCTTAAGACTTTGAAAGACCAAACCTTATCATCCTCGTGTTTCTAATTATATAGTTTTTAAAAGTCACAAAAGTTGCTACCCCTTATGTCATCTCCTTCTTTATTTGCTTACTCGATCTATCACTATTTCTATTCATTCTTCTTGGAACCTTTAAAAATTGGATTTTATAGTTTTTAGAGTTTATTTCACATTGGGTTTTGTTTTTATAATTTCTAGATGTCCCATCGAACATTGACATTATACTCCTCTACGGCCTGTTCACTGCCTCTTCTCTTTATTGTCATTAATATTTTAAAAATCAAAGATAATTATCATTTGAGTTCATTTTTACTTTCTAAAAGTCCCGCCAAACCGTCAGCAGCTTTGCCATTGTACTCCTCTACGGTTCGCCCACTGCCTCCCTTCTTTATTATCATTGAGATTTTAAATCAAACATGATTATCGTTGTTTTTTTTTTACTTTTTAAAAGTTCTGAACCTTTAAAAATTGGACTTATAGTTTTATTTTTTATAATTTTTAGAAGTCCCATCAAACGATGCCACTGTGCTCCTCTACAGCCCGTCTCCTGCCCACTCTTTATTGTCACTGTGATTCTAAAAATCAAACATAACTATCGCTGGAATTTATTTTTTATTTTCTAGAAGTCCCATCAACCGTCGGCGGCTCTACAACTATACTCTTATGCACCCTGCCCGCTGCTTCTCCTTTTTATTGTCACTGAGATTTTCTAAATCGAATATGATTATCAATGGGTTTTTTTTTACTTTCTAGAAGTCTCGGCAACCGCTTTACTTGTTTGCTTTATGGCATGCCTGACGTCCCTCCTATTAATCGTCATTAGAATTCTATTTGGTGTTTTATTAACAAATTTTATATGTCATATCAACCGCCACCACTTTACTCCTTTATAGGCCCGTTACTTAATTTTATCTCATCATGTGTTTTAGATGGTATTTTTTTTCAATACTTTATTTTTATCACAATTTTTATTTATTTATTAATTGTATTCCTAATTGAAATCTTATTTTTCTTTTTTCTAATTTTAGAATTTATTTTTTTTGAAAAAAATTAGTTAATACCGTATTGTGTTCTTTTAATGTTTTTATTTTTTATTTTCAACTAGAAAAATGCCCGTGCGTTGCAACAGGTGAAGGCTATTTTAATTTTATTATGGTTTAGCTAAGGTTAAATTCACTGTTGGAATTTGTTTGGATATTCTTTTTACAAAATCATGAGCCGCAATTAAGGGTCCGATCATCTCAAGTTAGCATGCAAGTTTTTTAAAGAGATTTCTTATACGACTCCTTCTGTATTTCTAAAAACGAACAAAATTAAAAACCGACTCAAACACGGATATGTATTTCCAAAAGCGATTGAATTTAAAAACCGATTCAATTTAAACACGGATGACGTACCAAAAGTACCGGCAAAAACATCTTCAATTTTTATAATAATTGAGATTTCAGTTGTTTCAAAGTTGTATTCCTACTTGAACTCTCTTTTAATTTTTCTAATTTTGGATATTATTTTATTTTTTATTCGAAATTTTAATTAATCTCGTATTGGGTTCTTATATGGATTCTTCTTTCAATATTGCTTATTTTTAATTCCGTATTTCAGCTAATTTTAAATTGTATTCCTACTTGAACTCTTCTTTTATTTTCTTTTTCTAATTTCGGATTTATTTTTAATTTTATTCTGAATTTTAATTAATTTCGTATTGGGTTCTTATATGGACTCTTCTTTTAATATTCCTTATTTTTAATTCCGCATTTCAGCTATTTTTAAATTGTATTCCTACTTAGACTCTCCTTTCGTTTTCTAATTTTGGATTTTATTTTTTTTATTTCGAATTTTAATTAATTATTGGGTTCTTATATAGAAACTTCTTCCAATATTGCTTATTTTTAATTCCGAATTTTAGCTATTTTTAAAATCGTATTTCTACTTGGACTCTCTTTTCCTTTTCTACTTTTGGATTTTATTTTATTTTTTTTCGAATTTTGATTAATCTCATATTGGGTTTTTATATGGAAACTTTTTTAATATTGCTTATTTTTAATTCTAAATTTCAGCTATTTTTAAATCGTATTTCTATTTGGACTCTCCTTTTCTTTTTTTCTTTTTCTCCGATTAATGTGGGAATTTCTAGCCCCACAGCGAACGTGGTGCTTCCTTTCAAAGCTGTTTTAATAATATAACTAGCATGGTGGCCCGCGCAGATTGCGCGGCTAGCATCATTATATTTTCTCTCATATAATAGCATATTTGTTTTCTCATTATATTATTCAAATATATTAAAATGACAACCTAATTTTAAATTTTGTAATAACTTTATAAAACTACTAATGTGTAATATTCATATTGTATTTTATATACGTGTTAGTTATTAATTATTTTTAATATCAAATTTTAGTTATTTGTAAATTATAAATATTCTTATATGGACTCTAGACTCGTCTTTTAATATTTCTTTTTTTTAATTCCGATTTTTTTGTAAATTATATTTCTATATAAACTCTATGCTCTTTTTTCAATATTATTTATTTTTATTTCTGAATTTTTATTATTTCTAATTGTATTTCTATGTGGACTCTAAACTCATCTTTCAATATTCTTTAATTTTTAATTTCGAATTTCAGTTACTTCTAAATTGTATTCCTATATTGACTTTAAACTCTTCTTCCCATGTTTTTCTTAATTTCGAATTTTATTTATTTGTAAATTGTATTTTTATACGGACTCTAAACTCTACTTTTAATTTTATTTTGTTTATTTCAAATTTTAGTTAGTTTTAAATTCCTATATGGACTTTATACTCTACTTCTAATATTCCTTATTTTTTAATTTCGAATTTCTATTTTTTTTCTTAATTCTTAATTGTATTTCTATATGGATTCTATACTCTACTTCTAATATTCCTTATTTTTAATTCTAAATTTCTATTATTTCCTAATTGTATTTCTAACCTAGACTCTATACTCTACTTCTAATATTTCTTATTTTTAATTCCGAATTTCAGTTATTTCCTAATTATATTTCTATATAGACTCTATACTCTACTTCTAATATTCCTTATTTTTAATTCCTAATTTCAGTTATTTCCTAATTATATTTCTATATGGACTCTATACTCTACTTCTAATATTCCTTATTTTTAATTCTAAATTTTAGTTATTTTCTAATTGTATTTCTATATGGACTCTAGACTCCTCTTCTAATATTCCTTGTTTTTAATTCCGAATTTCAGTTATTTCCTAATTGTATTTCTATATGGACTCTAGTCTCCTCTTCTAATATTCCTTATTTTTTTAATTCCGAATTTCAACTATTTCTAAATTGTATTTCTGTATGGACTCTAGTCTCCTCTTCTAATATTTCTTATTTTTTAATTCCAAATTTCAGCTATTTCTAAATTGTATTTCTATATGAATTCTGTTTTTTCTTTTTCTCCGATTAATGTGAGAATTTCTAGGCCATGAGAGCGAACGTGGAGGCTCATTTTTCTATTCCTTTAATAATATAATAATAGATAGATAGATAGATAGATTGTTATCAAAACACTATGAAGTCTGAAAATGTATCACTACAATTATACAACTTATACACACAGGGGCTAACATATACTCCCTCCGTTTTTTAATAAAATGCGTTGAGTTTCAAGAAAACTGTTTTACCATTCATATTATTATATGTTAAAGTATAAGTTGTCCAAATAAATAAAAATAACATTTATAATTTTTAAATAAAACAAATGATTAAACGTGGTACTAAAAAATTTAACGGCGTAATGTATTTAAAAAACAAAGGAAGTATATATATAAATATATATACATGTGAAAAGACTGAAGAGTAGTCAGGTCAGAAGAGGGAGGCTGCGGAAATGGAAGTGATCTTGTTGCCTCTGGTTGTCATCATCACATCCACCATGCTTCTCCTATTGATCATCTCCACGGCGAAGAAGAGACACCATGGCACGGCAAACCTTCCGCTGCCCCCAGCGCCGCCCTCTGTCCCCGTCGTCGGCCCGCTTCTCTGGCTCGTGCGCGCGCGCTCCAACCTCGAGCCAGCCATCCGTGAGCTGCACAGGCGGCACGGCCCCATCCTCAGCCTCACCTTCCTCTCCCCGCGCGCCGCCATCTTCGTCTCCAGCCGCGAGGTGACCCACCGCGCCCTCGTCCAGCGCGGCCACACGTTCGCCAGCCGCCCGCCGGCCATCGCGCCGTTCGCCGTCCTCACCAGCGGCCAGTGCACCGTCAGCTCTGCGCCGTATGGTCCGCTCTGGCGCTCCTTGCGCCGCAACCTCACCTCCGGTGTCCTCGGCCACGGCTCTCGCGCCCCACTCTACGCGCCTGCACGGCGGTGGGCGCTCCATCTTTTGACGTCTGACCTCGCGGCGGCCTCGGGAAACACGGGTGGCGGCGTGGCCGTGGCCGTGGTGGACTGCCTCCAGTTCGCCATGTTCTCGCTGCTCACGTACATGTGCTTTGGTAAGAGGCTCGATCGTCGTGGTGTCCGGGAGATCGAGGCCGTGCAAAGGGAGCTCTTCTCCTCGTACATCAGCTTCCAGGTGTTCGCCTTCTGCCCGACGGTCACCAAGCGACTGTTCTTCCGGCGGTGGCAGAAGGTGCTCTCCATTCGGAGGAGGCAAGAAGACATATTCCTTCCTCTGATCGAAGAAAGGAGAAAACGCATCAAGATCAGCAGCATGGACAACGACGGCAGCATGGTTTGCTGCTACGTGGACACAATCATCTCCCACAAGCTCCCCAAGGAGGCCGGCGATCGCCGGCTCACCGACGGCGAGTTGGTGAGCCTCTGCACGGAGTTCCTCACCGCGAGCGTCGACACGATTGTCACCGCGCTGCAGTGGATCATGGCTCGTGTCGTCGAGCAGCCGGAGATTCAGGCGAAGCTGCTGGACGAGATCAACCGCGTGGTGTCGAGCGACAAGGAGCACGTCGACGAGGAAGACATCAAGTCCATGGCGTACCTCAAGGCACTAGTCCTAGAGGGGCTACGTCGACACCCGCCGGCACACTTCCTGCTGTCGCACGCCGCGGTGGAGGAGACGTCGCTGGACGGGCACCGCATCCCGGCGGGCAGGTCGGTGAATTTCTCGGTGGCCGACGTGGCGCACGACGAGAACGTGTGGAGCCGGCCGGAGGAGTTCCTGCCGGAGAGGTTCCTGGACGGAGGGGAAGGTGCCGGGACTGACCTGACTGGAAGCCGGGAGATCAAGATGATGCCGTTCGGAGTTGGGAGGAGGATCTGCCCTGGACTTGGCCTCGCGCTGCTGCAGCTGGAGTACTTCGTGGCGAACATGGTCCGGGAGTTCGAATGGGGGATGGTGGATGGTGATTGTGGTGGTGGCATCAACCTTGCCGAGAGGCCGGAGTTCACCGTGATAATGGAGCAGCCGCTTCGTGCGCTGGTTGTGCCGAGGAGGAGAGAGTGACCGCCACGCACGGGTGTGCATGCCTTGATCGTCGTCGCTGCATGGTGTGCAGCTGCACCCAATTGGAGAGTTGCGTATCTTCTCATTACTTGGGAGATACCTCTCCTATCCACATATACATATATATATATTACAAGTAGAAGTAAAATAAATAAATTCAACTTTGTATCTGTTCATGAGTTTTCTTCAGTCTATACGTATATATTCAATTAGCATTTTAGCAAGAGACTTATATATCTCTGACTGACAGGCACCATAAGTATTAAATCGTTGACATATTAGACACATAGAACAGATGCCACCGAAGGATATTAGGTACGTGGAATGGAGCTTTGTACCTTAGTCATCATCGTCGAAACGCATGAGCTCTTCCCCATATGTTCATATCAAAGTTGGCATGGTTAGGATGTGTGTCAGCTGCATGTTTCACTGCCCCCTCTGCTTCCTCTGCCTCAGGTTCGGTGGCCTCCTTACAGTTGATGTAAACGGTGGCTTCCTCGAGGCAACCAAGGTTTGCCAATCCAAAGTCGAAGCCATTGCCGAGATCCTTGGTCTGCCTTACCCCGAAGCAGAACTCGATGATCCGAAGCCTCGGCATGGCTCCCCGCTGGATCACCGGCCCGTGGTCCGAGTTCCGGAACCGGCATTCCTTCAGACACGGGAACGCGTCTCGACCAATCACAATCATCTCCTTCATCTCGTATGGCTCCACGCGAAGTGTCCGAAGAACAGGCAGCTTCCCAAGGGCGTCGATGTCCACCTGCCTGAGCTCCCTCACCTGGATGAGCAGCACGGCGAGGCGCGGCACGACGGAGGCGGCGATCCACGCTGGCAGCAGCCGCAGTGGGCTACAGGAGATGTACGTCGCCAACGCGCTGAATGATCGGAGGCGCGGAGGCGGCGTCCAGCTGCCATCCTGGAGAAGATCGAGCAGCCTCTTGTGCCCATTCCCGCTAGCGGCGTAGATGTGAAGATCCTGCAATTTACGCAGGTTTCGCAGGGACTCCACCAGGGCTTCCTCGGTGCTCTGCGTCGGCTGCCTCAGCGTGATCTTGAGGACCCTCAGCTTTGTCAGGTTCCTCAGCTCGTTCACAAGATCCGGTGAATCGCGAGTCGAAATGTCCGAGAGCTCCTCCAGTGACACCAGATTCCCTATCCCACTCGGAATCCTTGTCTGGAATTCAACACGAAGGCACATGAGCTTTCCAAGGCGAAAGACTGTTGCCGGCAGTTCTTTCACCCTTGTGTCCGCGAGGTCCAGCGTCTGCAGAAACTGCAGCTTTCCTACATCTTCTGTAAGTTCAGTGATCCGTGTATTTCTCAGTCCAAGGTACCGTAGGTGGATCAAACTACCAAGATGATCGTTGAGGACGTGGTGGCTTTGTGAAATATCACAACCTTCTAGATCCAATACACGAAGAACTTTGAACTCTGAAAGATTGATGCTACCAATAGCAGGGCTGAAGACAGAAAGCGACCGCGCTTGAAGCATGCTCATCATGGTAGCCTGATTTGTAGTGTCTACTGATGCCTTGCTTCCTCGGATGGATAACCGGCAACCCTTGTTTGATGAACATGTCTGCTGCTCATCGTTCAATATAGTCACAAAGTTTTCTTCGCTTGACAAGGAGCTGATAAGATCCATCACCGAGAAATGTACACGGCAGCAGTATTCTTCCCTGATACCATCTTCGCTATAATCTATGTCTAATAATTTGACCATGCTTCTATTTACAAGCTCATTGAAATAACTCTCTCCAAGCTCAAATAAGCTCTCTTCGTGATTTCCATCTTGGATAAAACCTTCAGCTATCCACCTCCATATAAGTCGGTCTCACCTGACCTCATAATCTTCCGGGAATATGCTTAGATACAATAAGCAAGCCCTTAGATTTGCAGGTAAACGGTAATATCCAACGGAAATTGTCATTCTCATATTCTTCACGTCAGCACCATTCTCTAGTGTTGAACCGATAGAGTTGTGGACCTTATACCATTCCTTCTTGTCTCCTATTTTACCAGCCAATAAACTGGCTAGTGCAAGAATAGCAATAGGAACACCGTCACATTTCTTTAAAATTTTATCAGCTACTTCAGCAAACTCATCGTCGAGACAGATTTTGTTGTCATGGCCAAATATTCTTTGAAGGAACAATATCTTCGAGTTTTCTGCAGAAAGTGGCTTTAGTTCATATGGCATTCCAGCTTGATCAGCAACACTGAAATTTCGGGTTGTTGTGATTATTCTACTTCCACAATAATTCTCAACCAGAGCATGCTTGATCATTTCCCAAGATGGCTTATCCCATAAATCATCAATAACAATGAGATACCTATACATGTACAATAACACTGGATGAGAAATGTAGTTACACAAAGTAAAATGTATTATACATCATAGACTATTTCAGAAGCACCCTTTCCACGAATGTAAAAATAGGATTGTCAACTGCAAAAAAGGGAAGCACCATGTGCTTGACAAGTTAAAGTTCATCTTTAAGCTAAATGGCACTATGGCTGGCAGCCTTTTGAGCTTTTATGATAACCTGAAGGTGTACTAATAATGAATTACATTTTTCAACCGTAGGAGGTTGTGGCATTGTCATGTTTAATTTGGATTATTGAGCACTGAGAAATAAACTTAATAAATAGCTTAAAATGTATTTTAAACATAGTGATATCCTTAGGGAGTAATAATGATGTCTAAGCAATGTAGTTGAAGAAAGTATTCTTTGAGAAAACGTTTTTTTTTTCAAAAACTGGAGCATGTAATCCATTTTAATAATCTGATGAATAAGCTGAAAAGAACGGGGCCTATTCAAGCCAAATAAAGATTTTGTGAGTTGTATTACTGTATGAGCATGTATCACCATCTAGTTCTGCGAACCACCTTGGCCGCGGCTACTAGATTCATCATGCAGGTCAAACATTTTGTATTAAACAAACCATCTGAACTCAACTATAAATATCAATTAGTATACCATTATGGGCCTTAGTGAAATTTTATTTGATTTTGGGAGAAATGAGAGGTGAGTTTAGTTCTCCCAATGTCAAACATGCTTGAGGCACGCTTTCTTTGCACTCAAGATCATGTGGAGAGGATTCCATCATACCATCTGTGTACACAACAGCTGTGTAATCGCATTTCCTTTTCCTTGGGTTCCCCTGTTTTCCTCTGTTTTCCCCTGTTCTTCCCCTGTTTCTCTCTGCTTTCCCCTGTTCTACCCATTTTTTTCCTATTCCCCTGTTCACTGTTATTTTTACAGCTAAAGTTGCCACAGAAACGTACTCAAATAAACTCTAATTCGATCGTGCACATGGCGAGCTCCACTGCTCTAGGTATCATGTCCTTTCGAGTTCGAGATAGAACCATTTGGAAATCCAAGACCAATCAATCATTAGTTGATGCTAATTTCTACGTGAAGCAGTAACTTACTGTACATACCTCCTGTCTCGTAGGAACTTGCTCAGTTGATCGACGAGCTGCGCCTCGCCGCTGACGCTCGGTTCCTCGCCGCCGACGCTCTCGTGCTTGTCGTCGTCGTCAAGCTGGCGGAGCATCCTCATGAAAACCATGGCCATGTCGGGATTGATGGCGGACACCGACACGAAGGCTCCGCAGTCGAACCGCGGCCGGAGCGTGTCGTACACCATCTTGGCGAGCGTCGTCTTGCCCAGACCTGCGGCTCCGACGATGGACACGGTCTTCAGCCGCTGCTCCGATTGCTCGTCGCCGTCGACGTCGTCGCAGAGCTTCTTGATCAGGTCGTCCTTGGCGGCGTCCAAGCCGACGATCTCCGTCGCCGGCGGGCCAGCGTCGACGGCAGCGGCCGGCCGGCGAGGGTCGACGGCCGCGGTTGGGCGAGGCCTCCTCCTGGACAGGTCGGCGGCCCTCTCGAGAAGCGCCTTGACCGTCGCCGCCGACGCCGCGTCAGGGGAGCCGTCCGCGCGACGAGCCAAGAGCGCCGCGTCGCACGCGAGCTCCCTGGCGTGGCCGGACCAGGCCTTGGCCTGCTCGTCGAACCGCGCTGGGGGCACGTCGGCGAGGTAGTCGTCCCGGAGCGCGGCGTGCACGGCCGTCAGCTCCGCCGCGAGGAGCTCGACGGCGCCGCCCTCGCGTGTTTCTTCTTCCTCCTCCCTGACCACCAGCATGATGTCGCCCAGGCTGGAGAGGGCGCTGCACGTCGCGGCCATCGCCGTCTCCATTGCTCTGCCGTCTGCACCGCAGGCTGTTGCCGCCGGCCAGCTTTGTCCTTCCTCGTGACTGGTGTGGTGGTGGAGCCGGAGGCAGTGGCAATCAGACCAAGCAAGTGTCAGCAAGTGTCATTGCGATGGCGATTGTGCAGCGCCGACGGATTTGTTTAGATTTGAGCGCGGGACACCTGGTGTGTTTGGTTGGAGGGATATCCCTAGATGGAAGATGACGATTCAGTTTTTAAATGTGTTTGGTTGGTGGGCGAGGATGGATAGGGTGGTCCAGAGAGGGAATATTTCACGAAGATGCTGGATGAGTGTATCCGACCAAATTGGCCGGACGAGGATATCAACCTTTACTAATCTTTGATCATTAGTTCTTAATTAGCAATAATTAAAGTATATTATTGTTAATTAGTAATTAACTTGTTAAAATTAGTGTTGATTAGATATAGTTACTCTATTTTATTGTTAATTAGTATAAATTATGGCTATATTAATGATAATTAACATATTTTATTATTAATTATTACGTTGTTGTTTTCATTCAATCCATTCTCATCCACCCAACCAAACAAAAAAACTGGATGATTATATCCACCTAACCAAACAAAAAACTATACCATTATATTTAAGATAGCCATATTCTGTCTTGACCACGAAACAAAATATAGAAGGACGCAGCGTCCCCTCACGGTTCCACAGAAGCGTCTAGTTTTAGCAACACGTGTAAGTGCCACTGCCACCGATTTGACGTCGATCAGTCAATCAACATTTCAGCTGTATCGGCAGCAATAAGAATTAAAAGTATAGCCAACGCCAATTCATATAATAATTATATATAAATATATACTACTCTTTCTTCACAGGGTAAGACTTTCTAGTATTGTCCATATTCATAAAGATTAAAATGAATCTAAATATTCATATGTGCCTACATTCATTAACATCCATATGAATATAGGCAATGCTAGAAAGTCTTATATTGTGATATTAATATTTGGTCACATTTATCATAAATACATTACGTCTTAGAGTCTATGCGGCAGCTGGCTATAAATATATATAGCCCACCGCTCATCTCTGTCTTCTTTTATCTTCTCGATATGTGTTTATAACTGGCTTATACTACTATGTCCAAAAAATCAAACCTGGATTTGAATCTAGACACATTTGATTTTTTTAGACGGAAGGGGTAGAATGCTACTGTACCTGCTCTGAGCGAAGCCGTCTTCACAGCATCTCCAACAGACTCTCCAAGTTAAAATTTACCCATTTTAGCAAAAAAATCTCACTTCAACAGCCTCTCTACTAGAATGGCTAAGCCAAATGACTAGCCAAACTCCTCCCCTCAATGGCTAAATTTGGCCAGCCCAAATTGCCTTGCCATTCGTGGGCCCGATGTTGGAGATGCTTTTCTCTCACCCCGTACTACCTGCTCGAGTCTGCTCCCACGCCATCTGCGCAACTACCGCCAGCGATGGCTGCGACGGATGGGGACGGAGCCCAAGCGGCAGAGGATGGCGGTGATGAGCCCGGATGGCAGCGGATAGCGGCGGAGCCCGAGCAGCGGTGGACGCGGCGACCAACCCAAGTCCCTCCGCCTATCACCGCCGTGTCCTTTCTCCCTCCGCTCGTGCCTGCCACTGCCATGGGAAGGAGGCGCGTCGTCGCTCGCTCGCATCCTCCACCCGAGCTCGCCGTCAACGGCTCGCCCGCGCTCAAGATCGGCGGCAATGGGATGTCGGCATCGCACCTCCCTGAGGAGAGGATTCCGGCATCGCTCCTCCCCACCTTCCACCTCCTCCCAACGCCGGTGCTGCCCCTCTCAACCTCCTCGTGCCGCCGCATGTGCCCCAGCCACATCCACCTCCACCCCCGGCCATCCGGCGCAGCTTGCCATCTATTGCTGCCATGCCACGGGAAGGTGGGGAAAGAAAAGAAATGAAAGGGAGAAGAGTGCCAAGACACTGGCATGTGGGGCCCAATAAAAATGGAGAGTGTGGAATGGACAGTCTGTTGGAGCGTGTAGGAGATACAAAGAGAAATGTTTTTAGCAAGTTGGCCAAATGGATGAATGGAGAGGCAAAAATAGCCATGCTATTGGAGATACTCTAGGGACACGAAAAATGACATGCTCTGTCCTCTATGAATACCACCTCCGTCCCAAAAAAATTGGACATTCTCCTGTCCAACTAATGTCCCAGAAAATTGAACTCACTAGAAGTAAGTTATACAGAGGTACTCCCTTCGGCACACAAAAAAAATCCATATTTTAAGGCCTTGTTTAGTTCGCGAAAAGAAAATTTTTAGGTATCACATCGGACGTTTGATCGGATGTCGAAAGAGATTTTCAGACACGAATGAAAAAACTACTTCCTCCGTTCCTAAATATAAGGGATTTTGGTGGGATGTGACACATCCTAATTGGATTAAGATGTGTCACATCCCACTAAAATCTCTTATATTTAGGGACGGAGGGAGTAATTTCATAAGTCGCCTGGAAACCGCGAGACGAATTTTTAAGCCTAATTAATCCGTCATTAGCACATGTGGGTTACTGTAACACTTATGGCTAATCATGGACTAATTAGGCTCAAAAGATTCGTCTCATGATTTCTATGCAAACTGTGCAATTAGTTTTTCTTTTTATCTATATTTAATGCTCCATGCATATGTCCAAAAACTTGTCGTGACGTTTTTGGGAAAAAAAATTTGGAAACTAAACCGGGCCTAGGATGAAACTAGTGAAGAGTAAAAATGCTGAAATATCACTGTACCATTCATATTTTTTTCCACTACTACCACTAGAACATGTAATCAAAAGTTTAAACCACTTGTACCGTTGATAATACTATCAACTGTTTTCCCTCTGTCCAGATTACATATTTTTCATCATCTACTAGTGTGATCACTTGCACTGATAATGATAATATTTGCACGTACGCTCCATCTTCATCTTCATCTTCATCCGCAGCTGGATCTCCAACTTAATCCCTTCGCGCCTAGCGCCAACGAAACTTCACTTCCTTCAAGCGATTATGAAGTGTGGTCTTCTTCACACCTAGTGCGTCAGCGAGACGCCGGAGGGTTGCACGCTCCCCCGAAGGCACATCTCTGATGGCTTCCAAGTCTATCTCTATCCTTTTGCGGCCAACGTTTTTGAAAAGCTTGTTCACAACGCCGTCTACACATCCCTTTTCCTTACCATTTTGCCATACATGCTGCACAAGTCTAAGAGGCACGCCGAATTTCAGCGCGACTTGCTTCGAAACGCCACGGTGGAGCACAGGTGGATCTGCCTTCGCCAACAACACCAGGTATATGGCGATCTTTAGTTCGTCCGAGTAGTACCTCCTCTTTCTCAGGTTCTCACCTTCAAAGAACAAAGCATATATAATCAAAACAAGCTAGATTCTGTAGCCATTTTTTTTGGTTAACATGTGAGAAGATTGAGTACAGATTGCCTGATGCACACATGCATGATATGGTATAAATTCAGGGCAAGATCACTTGTACAAAGTCAGTTGGAACCGAAACATCTTAGAGTAATACAAATTCGGAGCTAGTAAAAATTTCACATGATCCAGTAATACTAACAATATGTAAGTAAACTGGCACTATATTTTTTTGGGTTTCTGTAAGTGCAGAAACTAACACTGAAACAAATTTATACTCCATCCTTCCCAAATTGATTATCATATAATGAAAAACAAATTTTCTAAAATTGATCATCATATAACTGCATGGACACGGATTTTATCGGAGTGCAATTAATATAGCACTGAAAAATGTATGCATGCTAAGGACCTAATTGTGCATTGTATTTTTAATCGATGCATGCATTGTGAGAGAATGTATGCATATTGTGCATAGATGTGGTTTAATTTATTTTGGGTCCTAGTCCACAAACATTATATGATGATTAATTTGGGATGGAGGGAGTAATCTATAAGTACTGAAACTAATTCCATGTAAAATTAACAATCTGAAACTGAAACTGATTCCAGGCAAACTGTAAGTACTGTACCTCATCTGAAACTAAAAGTCACTTGAAAAGACAAATCATGATGAAAACCAGTAAATAATATGAATTGACAATTGCTGAACAACTTTCTCAGATGTTACAGATAAGATCTCTGCTATTCCCCAATGTGCATCTCTAAAAATAGCACCGTCTTCAGAGTAACAAGAGGCTCACACAAAGCATATTAGCAGGCAGAACAATTTACTGAAGTGAAACTGATCTACTAGGTTCCATGGCCAAATCTACAAAGTTCAACATCTGTGAAGTCACTAGAATCTGAAAAATGAAACTGTAAAGTCACTAGGATCTGAAACTGAAACATATCTACTAAGTTTCATGGCCAACAAACAAATCTACGAAGTTTAGAATAAATTGACAAACCAGTAAATACAAATACTGCATGAGCAAGTTCAGGGTTTAGCATCATGCAGAAACCGTTAAGTTATGAATTCCATGGAGTACTAAGTTGAGCATCATGCAGTGTGTGGAGAGTTCAGCGTCATCATGCACTAAGTTCGGAAACCAGTAAGATTCAGAAGCTGAAAGTACAGGAGTGCAAGGAGTACCCAAACTCAAATCCTGCATTAATACTCCCTCTGCATGTTCATCTCCGGCGTGCACTTGTGCCTCCAGACCGGCCTGATCATCTTGTTCATCACCTCCAGCCACATCTTCTCCTCCATCTCCATTCTCTTCGTCTTCGTTACCTCTACCTAGGAAAGCCAAAAAAAAAAAAGACTCAAGTGTGAATCGAGATGCAGGGCAATAAACCGAATTCCAAACGAAAGAAGTGAGCAAATAATTGTACAGAACCTTCTTCATCACCATCATAATCGAGTTTATGAGCAGGACTTTCGTGGCAGTCATCGAGTGAGCTCATCCAATCAATTGTCTCGTTTAAGTCCAGCTCGGGTGGGGGTGGCTCGTTCAGATCAAAGGCGATGGCAGCCATGGATCACGTAGAGAGATGCAGGGAAGATCAAGCCATGGATGGAGCTCATGGCGACATATATAGTGGGCAACTGACCAGAGCTAGCACTTGTGATATCTGTGCCAAATTAAATGGACCTGTGAATTCTCGAAATCCGAATGGACGCGTCATTAATTAGTTTCGCTTCGGTAAAAACGCTTAAACCCCGGAATAA